ATTAATTTTAAGTGTATCCGGAATTTTATTGCCCAGAAATGTGACAATTACCATTTGTCTATCGACAAAGGATACTTGCTTAGTTTCGGGATCCGTAGCTCTTCTTTTCATACGTTTGACTTCAACTATCGGTATTTCAGAAATAATTTCTTTTTTCAAAAACTCTTCACTGAAAAAGGTATCAACCATCCGGATGATACCCTTTTTTTGTGTGTAAAACTTTGGAATAAAGGCAACTAAATTGTTTTTTTTCATAATCTCATGGTCAACTAATGAGTTAGCAATATCAAATGATTTAAATTCCACCTTTACGCGTTTTAAGCCTATAGATTTAATATTTAATACATCATTTTTAAAAGAGGGACATTCTTGCAAAAAATACCCCACTTTCATAGGAAAAAGTCTTCCCAAATTCTTATCAATGTGTTCCATATAAACCAAATAAGGGCCTGAATCCGTAGATCTGTATCTATTGGTTAAATCATAAATATTTTGCGTTTGTGATATTTTTTCTTCTTCTACGAGAGTGGTAGTAGTACTTGTGGGCGGCCCCGAAGGGTCGCCCTCTTCACTAATCATAATAACAGAATAAACTTACCGAAATGTTGTTCTGTTCAGAATAAAATTTAATTTAATACTTATACCTATCACTTATCAATTATCAAGAGAAACAAAAAGTTCGCACTTTTATTTATCGCACTATACCCGCAAAAACGATCCGTACCGTACCAGATATAGAACAATACTGTGGTTCATTATAAGCTGATGACTTTTTGTTTAGAAGCTCCACAGTAGGAGTTGGTTTACAGGGCCGACTAGAGGGGGGGGGCAGCCGGGACTAATTCCCGGGGCCCGGGCTCAAATGGGGGCCCGGCAGCGGTATAAGGGGGGCCCGGCAGTGGTGGTGTTTGTGACTTTCAGAAGTTCGACAGACGAGGGAGAGAGATTCAAGTAGAGGAGAAGAAATTTTTGCTTAAAGACCTATTTTTTTTAGAGAAAATCAAGTAGAGGAGGAGAAATTTTTGCTTGAAGACCTTTTTTTAGAGAAATTCAATAGAGGAGGAGAAATTTTTTGCTTGAAGATCTTTTGTTATTTAATTTCTTATAAAATTGTCGCTGGGCCCAATCTGGAGAATGGTCCTGGGGCCCGTTCTGGCTCTCGGCGGCCCTGTTGGTTTATAAATTATAAGTTGACGATTTTTTTTTTAGAATCTGAACATACCACCTCGACCTGCTTTATAAATTTATAAGCTCAGGACTCTCTTGACCCTCGTACACTTACGGTTTTAGAGCAATGTTTATAAATTTAAAGTGGATCTAGGTGGTTTATTTGTGGATTCTGAATATGGTTTGTAGTGTAACCCATTGAAATAAAGAGAGACAACTTAACTAATATCTCTCTCGCTCTCTTTTATAAAAGTATGATAAATAAAATGGCGGCGTGATCGACTATGAAGAGACTAGGACACCACGAGTGACTGACTGAAAGATTCGTTATCTATTGGTTACTTACGTTATTGAGGGAGTGGTAAAGGTTAAAAGAAAATATCTATTGATTTATATCTAATCTTTATTGAAAATATTACAGATGAAAGAATCAGAAAGTAAAATGTTATAAGTATATAAAATGTATTTATAAAGATTAAATATAGGTCTGGTTCGATGCAATAAAATAATTAGTTTATCAAATGAGGGGAAAGAACCAGCAAGAAAACCCCAAAGTTAAAATAAATACAATAAAATGAATCAAACGTCAATTTTGATACAAATGACAAATTAAGTATATATATATAAAAAAAACACATTTAATTACTTGATGATTTAGTTAAACACAGAAAAATATATGAAATAATATTCAATACATTATATAAAAAAAAATATCTAATACTGCAAGGCAAAAATTAAATAAATATTTTAGGAACAATATAGATAACAAACATTGAGCATCACTAGGTTCAAACACACTCGATGCAAAACTGAAGAAGGGTTAATAAGTAAAAGGTAATGGGGAAGCTATACAGCTTAACTACCCACCTATGAGTTGAATTATCTGGCGACAAAATAAGGTAAGTTACCGGAACACCTATTCCGATGTTGTCCCAGCTACGGGCGAAAATGTTATCATCAATCAACAAGGCATTTTATACTTTTAACTTAGATCTGCCAATGCTGTGATTATCAAAATAAAACACAGGAATACAATATTACTTTTCCCTTGCAGAACTTTAAAAATGACTGGAAAATAATTTCAAGTTCAAATATTAATTATAGCAAATTTTTCTTAGTAAAACTACAAAATATCAATAAACTTCAAAAATATTTAAATTAAAATATTAAAAGTATGCTATTTTTCACTGATTTAAATAGTAAAATAAGTCATAAAATCAAATAAACTCGTTATTGGAATGCAAACAATTTTTTATGACAAATCATGACAAATACAAAAAATACCTACAAGAAATAACATGAAATTACTTATAACAGTGAAATTTAAATCTGAAATAGCGAACCATCAACAAGTTAAACAATATATAAAGCAGTTGAAATATAGTAATTGATTTAAATAAGAACTTACATTTTATCACAAATAAAACCTTTTTTTAAAAATCACCTGTACTTAATCACCGGCATTCTGACTCTTCGATGTTCGATGACTCTCTCTGCTTCTCCCAGCGCATGAACGATTTTTGTTCGTTGGAATTTATCGAGGTCAAAAACGATAGAATAGGTGTACGCTTTATATTGCCATTCAAGGGGGTCGGAATTAAATACGATTCCTTTCAGGTTTTGTAGGTGCAAGTCCCGACGGTTTAATAGGAACCGACAGTATTATTGAAATTAAATGTCCTGCCACTGCTTCAAAACTGACTCAGGAAAAAGCAATAGTTGAAAAAATAATAAAATTTGCAATTATTAATGACAATGGCCAAATGCAATTAAAACGAAATCATAATTATTATTACAAAGTTTAGGGACAACTTCACGTAACTAAACGAACTATTTGTTTTTGGATACCTTTAGGTATGTTAGTAGAAAAAATAAAAAGTGATGATAAGTTTTGGTGTACCGAAATGGGAAGCAAACTGCAGCAATTTTATTTAAATTGTATACTACCCGAGATTCACGTTTCACTAGAGATTTAGATATTAGAAATCGGAGTAGAAATCCGACCAATAGTCAATAAAAATTATTATTTTTATTTTTTCTTTTATTAAGAATATAACATTTTACTCAATGATATTTTTATATATATATATTTTTAGTACTAGTAAACAATTTTTTTCTACACCCAGATGGATATTAGCTTATCTACGTACAGATTACAAAACGAAACAGTATGCTATTGCCTTCAACTGAACGAATATATTGTATATCCAATCTAGATAGTGAGAACACTGCAAAAAAATTTAAATCCACCAATCACCGTTCATATTTTGATCAACCGACTGCTATTATTTCTAAAATTTTAAATAAGTGACAATATTGTCAAACTAATTGTCAGTATATTTTTTAGTTATTGAGATTAAACATACATTAAAATGGGTTATTATTGCGTAGAATCGATAAATAATAGCATATCTGTTTTTATTTCGTTTATAATTCTAAATAATTTGTTAATTTAAATAAAATTATATAAAGTCAGTTTAATTACGAGTATTAAAGCAACAAAAATAAAATAATAGGTGGTCCTGTGGTTAGCGTCCTTGCCTTTTTCTTTTTTTTTTTTTCGTTCATTAAAAATTATTAAAAATCATAAATTATTTTAAAATTAGTTATTTTGTCTTAATAACCTAAAATATTTTTTTTATTTGTAAATTTTCGTTAGTGTGTCGTAGAAAAAATATACTGTACAACTCGAGTGGATTATTCGTATCGCACTAAGACTATTGAGTACTCCGCTTATGGCGTCGTTCTCAAACTTCGTATTTGTGCATTGTGTGCAAACTACTATTTTACGCACAGACTACAAAACGAAAAATATACTATTGCGTTTAACTGAACGAATATATTTCATATCCTTTCTAAATAGTGAGAAAACTGCAAAAAAATTAAATCCACCAAACACAGTTTATATTTTGGACACCCAACTACTATTTTTTTTTTTTTTTTTTAATTGGTGTCATCGGCGTCGACTACTAACCCAACAGTGAATATTTCTAAAATTTTAAATATGTGACAATTTTGTCAAACTATATAATTGTCAGTATATTTTTTAGTTATTGAGATTAAATATGCATTAAAATTACTTATTTTTGTGTAGAATCGATAAATATTAGCATTTTTATTTGGCCCACAGGCGAGAGGCCCAAGTTCAAATCTGGGCTGGGGACTAATTAAATTAAATCTTTTTTCATTTTTATTTTATAAATTAGTAAAGACATAAATTATTTTAAAATTAGTTATTTTGTCTCATCCTAAAATAATTTTTTAAATTTGTAGATTTTTGTTAGTGGGTCGTAGAAAAAATATACTGTACAACTCGAACGATTGTCCACATCCACTTTTGTTGCACAAACTAGTATTAAATGGGTTATTTTATATTTTTTTGTATACGATTAATTGTGATTAATTAATTTAATTTTTAATTATGCCAATAGTATTTTGATGATCAATTCGGCTATCAAAAAACGAGTTGACAAACAAAACACTGTCGTTTCGAAAATGTTAAACCAGGTTATACCTTTCAAATCATCTAAGTAATAAATTTAAGGGAGCACTGAAAGTTGTTAGTGCGTTCTCAACTTGAATTTGATGTTAGGTGTCGCATGGATATCGCTCTTAATTTTATTTTTAAAATGGTATTGGGATATAGTTATTCTGTTTAATTATCAGTCTGGTTATTATTTGTTCTTATTTGCAGTATTAACCAAAGGAGTAGTTGTTTTCAAAAGGGAAACGGTTGCTTAACGTTTCTGTGATAGGGTCTTCGAGTTTTTCTCATTTTCTTTAGGTTTTTTAAATAACTAATAGGGGCATATTAATAAGATAATAAAACTTACTCGAAAACTGCTAGCAAGATATCTTTAATCATCGATTTTCCTTTCATAGGAACGTATTTTTTAGCATCGCAAATCATTTTTCTTACACAAGCAGTTCCATTTAAACCAATCCTGAAAATTATTTAAAATTATTTTTAAACAAAGTGAATGAACTGGTTATAATTGTTTAAATTTTAAAACAGTCTTAAATTCAAACATAATATTTTGCAAACCGCCCCTGTTCAATTTATTTATGTTAAAACCACACATTTAAAAAATTTACATTATTTATTCTTCAAATAACTCATCTCGCTCTACACACGCATTCAATAGCAATTCATACAGCCCTAGATACAGTGCAAACTAAATATATCGCCCTCTGAACGGGTGTGTAGCATCACGTCAACCAAATTTCTTCATAGGTTCTATCTTGATTTACTCTCGCTCCCTCTCACTAAGTTAAAAATAATTCAACATAATTTTATTCCAGATGATCAGAGACCGTTAGTAAGCGACGCCCACTCACACAAGTATGAACTAGAAAATTCGCCGCTCGCCTCCAGTTTTAGTCGTTCAACAGAGAAGATGTCTCGGAGTCGACTTTTTGTTAAACATTCGTTCAACCTTCGAACTCCAAAGTGCTAACATGTAGCGTTTAAAGTGTCCACTCTTTGGTTTCCAGTCCAATGCCTTTACTGTCGTTTTCGCAGATAAGTTACCTGTACTTGTTGACCGATGATAATACATTAGCATAATGTCAATGGGACTTCGTTATCCTTCGTTAAACAGATGCTATCTCCAAGTTTTTTAATAGGTGAATAGAAAGACATTAAACAAAAATAAGCAACATTAACGAAGTTTAAACCAAAACAATGATTAAAATTTCAGCATGTCAACCCTGCTCGAAGTAACTAAATGTAAATTATACTCATCTTGATAGATCGTCAGATAGTGACCGATTTAGGTGCACCATTTTCGCATACAACCCTCGAAGAGGGTTGAAAAGTACATCGATGTTGAGTAGAATGGAAGGAAATTTACGAGTGGCTCTTGGAGATAACACATGGAAAATTCGATTTTCCTAAACAGAAAAATGTATGACCCCAAAATGCATTTATCCATTCGGGTAATTCAAGCCAATATGTTTTTCGGTCTGTTACGATATACCCTTTCAAACATTCTATGGGCTTGTATGGAAAAATCGGTTAAAATGTCGATTTTTCCTTAGAAGATTACGCCCTTATTTCAACAATAAATCCTTTGGTTTTCTAAAGGCTGTTCTATTAGTTAATTATTTAGTGAACAAGGCTTGCGTGAAAATATGGGTAACAAAATACCTTTAATTTTTATTAAGGAAAATCGAATTTTCCATATGTTATCCCCAAGAGTCACTCGTAAATTTCCTTTCATTCTACTCAAAATCAATGTACTTCTCAAACCTCTTCTAGGCTTGTATGCGAAAATGGGACACCCAAACATGTCTATAAACTCTATCTTATGCTGCACTTAGACCTAGCTTTAAGTATGTATATTCATTGAAACCTTGAATAAATTATTCCATTAATAGATATTCAGAAACACGTTAAATGTAAAATATCATTAAATGGTTAAACCATAATAAAAAATATGAGCCTCAAAAAATGTTTCAAAAGAAGGCCATGACTGACAAAGACATAGATACAAATCATGGTTCTGAATCAAATCCGAAATGAATAAAAAAAAATATTTGTACGTTCCGAGATTTGTTTATTTTTCCAAGGCCTGCTTCGGAAACATTTTTTGTGGATCACTCCATATAAAAGATATACTTACAGTGTTAAAGCCGAATCCAGAGTAGAATAAATTTCTCTTCTATTTTTTTTTATATAGTGTGATTTTCGTAATAGTCTCGTATCTGTAGGCAAAGCAAATGGACAATCCATCTCTCCTAATATATTAAATCCAGTAGGTTGTGCTCTCATAAGAGCTTTTACTCCCGCCATGGATATCTGCAACCAAGTGTTTTTAAGTAAATAGAAAAGAGCGTCTTAGCAAGTCGTACCAAATACCTAGAAAACTAGAAAAGCACTACTTTTGCAGAAAAACACTTCTTAGTAAGGAAATATTTTACACTTTAAGTCTTTTTTTAATTTAAATTTTTAACAAAGAAGGCTGGTGTCAAAACTATTTAACTTATTTTTCACACAGAGTAAAAATAATATTTTTACTTATTGCAGAAATCAGTAACGTAGCTTGACACAGAGGGGCTCGGTGTAAAATATTTTTTGGGGCCCGTTGGTCAAAAAATGCGCATAACTAATATATGAATAAATAGGAAACAACAAAATGATTTTCTTAAAAATTTAAAATAAATAATAGGAATATAATCGCAGGTTTATTAAAAACTAAAAATAAATAGTAAAATAAAATAGACATAAAACCATAAAAAGGAACATTGCAAGTCTGACAGAAATAAATAATAAATTAGGGATAGCACAGTTTGGGTCGAGATATTGAGACCGGACTTGGTATAATAATATCACTGTATTAATTATCCCACATGAATATGAAAATCGCACAAAAAAATTCAACCTTTGAAATTTAGGGTTTGTATGTAGAACATATCGTAAATTCCAATTGTAATATTGAAAAAATTGTAACTTATTTTTTAAGGGTGACACCCCTTTCATATCTACTAGAGGAGGGGGCTAATTTGTTTTAATGCGATTTTCATACTAATGATAATACAGACCAAGTTTGGTCTCAATATCTCGACACGAACTGCTCTACTCCCAAGAGCCGAACCTCAAATATTTGGTTTTTATCAACAAAATGTTTGTTTAAATAAAAAGTCATCTGTCTCAGTGTACACTCTCGGTCCCAATAAAAATCACTAAGTGGTACTTACTGGAATAAGGCATGGCATACATAATTTAATTCATGCCAAAATGTATTTTTTTAATCTAAACTAAAAATTGCGAAAGTTTGGATGGGTGGATGTATGGATGGATGTTTGTTGCTCAATCACGCAAGAATGGCTGAACGGAGCTGGATGAAATTTGACACAAAGACAGATTATAGTCTGAAATAGCACATAGACTTTTATTACTTTTTATTCCGGAAAAATATGTGGTGCCCCCCACGGGCACCACATATTTGTTTTTGTTTTTCATACATGATTTTTTGCATAGTGATAGTGAAACATGAAAATTTGAAATACAGCTACTGATCATAAATAAAAAATAAATTGTGTCAAGGTTTTGGATTTTTACATTTTAAGGGAAAACGGGGGCTAAAAGTTTTTACGAAAGTATCGATTTTTTTAAAGGTAGAAACTTCAAAATTGGAATTATAGCTACTCATCAAAAATAAATAATGGTGTGTTTTAGGGATTTTGGGCTTTCATATTTTTAGAGGAAAAGGAAGGAAATGAAAGAAAGGAAAGAAAGCGGAGAAATGGGAGAACGGGGGGAAATGGGGAAAAGGTTTTATGGGGGTATCGCTTTTTGTAATGTAAAACTAAAGAAAAACACAAGGCGAAATCAATTCAATGTCTTTTTAAAGCTTCTAATGTAAGGAAAATAATGTATTTATGTCTAAATATAATATTTTTTTGTAAACTAGTCACAATATGTATCTTACGGAGTGTAGTTTATTTTATTACAAGTTACTATAATATAAAATTTTAGTCATAGATCCTGACTTACAAACAACAATAATTATACATTAAATTTAACTTACTAGAAAAGAAAATTTATTTTTTTTTAGAGTTTTAATGTTAGATAAAGAGTTGCTACTGTTATTTTTTTGTTGAACTCGTTGTGCATTATAAATGTTTTTTATAGGATAATAAACGCTTAGAACGTTCCTAGTGCCGATAAAGCACTTTCTAGAGATTATGTTGTTCTATACTTTTTAGAAGATATTATCAAATATCATGAGACTATTTTTACTGATGGTACTGTTAGAAAAATAAAAAGGGGAAAGCTGAAATTAAAGGATGAAGTTAACAAAATCTGTTAACTGTGTTTTATTTTGCGCTTAAAACTATATATAGGTTCAATTTAAAAACCTCTTGCCGCAAAATTGTAATTATCAAATTATCTAAATACAACAGTATGTTCTGTGCTTTATTTAGCTATAAACAATTTTATTTTTATTATTTTGACAAAATTATGTATAATTCCCATAAGAAGCCATGTATTTTGAACACCGTAGGCAGTACCAGTGCCCATGCGGTTAATTATAAAAGCTCAATTGGGACCGTATTTTTAGTATGCCGATTCGCCTCCTTCTCTCTAGTCTTCATATCCAAAAGTAACCAAGAAATTAGTTTTTTTTCAGAAACCGCTGTCAAAAAATCCTGATTTCTTGCGATTAGTAGTCGGTTAATAACGGACCATACCCTAAATATTAGTATGTCACATTGACAACTGACATTGAACTCGGAGAGTAATAAAAGAAGTAAAACCATACGCGCACTCCGTTTACGCCTACTTACTCCACTCTACTCTGGAGTGCGCAGCCCGAACTCACCTTGTATAGCGGTATCTAGACTTTTTAAGAGCTATGGCAACATTACAATATTCAGAGGATTCTGCAAGGTTAAGTATTAGTTTGAATTTAATTCAGAGCCGTGTATAGTTATCAGGGACATCGTATCGGTCTTTGTCGGTCATGGCCTACTTTAGAAATATCTTTTGTGGATCACTCTATATATTTTTTAATGAGCAAGTAATGGTACTTATTCCTTTCTAGTTGAATACTATACTTTTTTATGGCAATAACACGCTGCTACCCATTTTTAAAATTTAAAAATTAAAGGGACAGTTCTCTTCTAAATAATTTTTTAATGTTAGACATTTTATGGCACAGATGATGTTATTCAAATATTAACGAATGATTACTTTGTGGATCTGATTTGAAAATGATTACTTTCTGTTATCAAAATTATCAAATAAGGAAATAAACCTCATTTTAATCAACAATAGTTGATAAAAAGTAGCTTTGTTTTGCATTATAGCCGTAGAAAAAGTAATTGAAGGTAACAATGCAGGCTTGTAAAGGGTTTTGCTTACTAATTTTTAAACGGCCAGTAATTCATAAAAAATATTGTCGTGCGACTGACCCTGTTCTTTGTTTACGCTAATCGCCGTATGAGTTCCATTTTCGCTGCCCGCCCGCCTCTAGACTCGAGAATCGATTGGAATGTTTTTTTTACGCAGGCCGACGCGTGGAAGAAGGATTTAACGAACGTATCGAGATACTTCTAGTCAGGATTGGATTTTTTCTAGGCGTTACATTTTTGTATATAAGCGAATTCTTTTGCCGTACTAAGCTACTAAGTTAAGTTTTAAAATAAATGTTGAAAAAAGAAAAATTTTAAATAAATTAAAAATGTGAAATATAAATAGTGCTAAAGTATAAATTAATTAATTAGTACTTAGTGTAAATAAATATATATAAACTGTTTTAAATAAATAAACTAATTTTAAAATAAACAAACGTTACAATATTAATACTAGGTAAAACGTTTATTTTAATGACAGTTTTTCCCTTTATCTTCTGACAGTAACCTATTTTTTCTGAAAATGTTAATAGCTTAACATTTTTATAGAAAATAGATTAACTTTCTTTGTGGTAGATACGAATAATTATTACATAATGGTGTCGAGGGTGAAGTATTGTAGAATTATTACAATAACATTTTTCCATTACAAATTATATTATGTACTTATTAGTTATTGAAATATTTAATTACAAAATATTTTAGAATATAAAATATAAATGTGTATTTAATACTCATATATTTAAAAACTATATATTTATCGAAAAATATAGACATTTTGGAATCTATAAATCAGATATTTATGAAAAACACTCACAGCTAAATTAGATCCTTTTGGAAAAATCAAATATCGTTTTCTTCTATTTAATAGCACATTCTTATGTAATATTTCTGTAACGTCGTTACTTCCAAAACTCATTCCCAAATAACAAAATAAAATTAAATTCAATAGAAGCACCATGTTTTTAGATTGACAGTACGATGCATACATTGTAAATTTCCATACATGAGTTAAGCAAATGAAGTAACTGTTTTTTATTTGTTTTAAAGGTGAACTGATTAATAGGAAGAACTATTATATCTATTTGTTCGGGAATCGTTTGATTAAGAAATATTCTACCGGATGCCGGTCAAAAGTATATATTATATGTAAAAAAAATCTTCTGCCAATCGTAGTTTTTTTTTTAATTAAATAATTTATTTTGCACTGTTTTCTCGTGTATCTTTAAACGTTGAAACCAGCATAATTCATTAGCTGTCAAAATCAAAGCAGTTTATCAATTATAAAAGTTACAACGTATTCTTATTATGGTGAACAAACTATTATGTTACTGGTTCTCGGATATTGTCAATTAAATTGTCGAAAAAAGGTAAGAGTATACCAAACTACACCCACCAGAGCTATGGAAGTCATTCTTATTTACATCAACGTGGTTGCTCTGATGACAATGAGACGGCTCCGTACGATTGGAATAGAACTTGATATAGGATCTGGTGAGGCAAAACGTCGCTTTTGGAAGAAGATGCTCGATACGCTTCCATTGCCTCAAGCGAACATGGATTCCATCGGACCGATATATATATATATATATATATATATATATATATATATATATATATATATATATATATATATATATATATATATATATATATATAGATTCGTCCTGCCGACGTTGTGACATCATGTCGCAAAAATGTTGCTATCTTTATAACATCCGTCTGCGGTGTGACATCCAAATTCGGATGTCACAACGTTTTTGGGGTTCAAACATCATAAAGTAGGTTTAAAAGGGCGCCAAAAAAATTTCAGCTGGATGTCATAATGCTTAATTTTCAATTTTATGTATATATTTAGTTCCAGTGTATAGATGCGAAGGTGGCGCTCGCGTCAGTTGGTTTTGTATATTTTGTATATTAAATATTTCAGTCCCTCGACTGTATAACATCCACCATTAAGTATATTAGAATTTACTCACTCGACTGTCTGACATCCAACATTCAGTATATTAAATCTTACTCACCCGACTATCTGACATCCACCATAGAGTATATTAGAACTTTACACACTAGGTTATGTGACATCCAAAAAATGTATTTTAGATATATTTGGATTTTCATTTTAAGATCTATTTTATGTTAACACATTAACTGCCAAAAATTTTTGTTGGGTTTCGCTCAGAGCCAACAAGTTTTTTAAATGCATTCACTCTCGGTGAATATTTAATAAATATATATTATATGCATCTATATTGATACAAGGTGTATCAACAATGGGTGAGTGAACGATGAATAATTTATATTAAAAGAAATTACACGAAATTAAATTAAAAAATATTAAAATAAAATAAATTAAAATAAATTAAAATAAATTAAAATAAATTAAAATAAATTAAAATAAATTAAAATAAATTAAAATAAATTAAAATAAATTAAAATAAATTAAAATAAATTAAAATAAATTAAAATAAATTAAAATAAATTAAAATAAATTAAAATAAATTAAAATAAATTAAAATAAATTAAAATAAATTAAAATAAATTAAAATAAATTAAAATAAATTAAAATAAATTAAAATAAATTAAAATAAATTAAAATAAATTAAAATAAATTAAAATAAATTAAAATAAATTAAAATAAATTAAAATAAATTAAAATAAATTAAAATAAATTAAAATAAATTAAAATAAATTAAAATAAATTAAAATAAATTAAAATAAATTAAAATAAATTAAAATAAATTAAAATAAATTAAAATAAATTAAAATAAATTAAAATAAATTAAAATAAATTAAAATAAATTAAAATAAATTAAAATAAATTAAAATAAATTAAAATAAATTAAAATAAATTAAAATAAATTAAAATAAATTAAAATAAATTAAAATAAATTAAAATAAATTAAAATAAATTAAAATAAATTAAAATAAATTAAAATAAATTAAAATAAATTAAAATAAATTAAAATAAATTAAAATAAATTAAAATAAATTAAAATAAATTAAAATAAATTAAAATAAATTAAAATAAATTAAAATAAATTAAAATAAATTAAAATAAATTAAAATAAATTAAAATAAATTAAAATAAATTAAAATAAATTAAAATAAATTAAAATAAATTAAAATAAATTAAAATAAATTAAAATAAATTAAAATAAATTAAAATAAATTAAAATAAATTAAAATAAATTAAAATAAATTAAAATAAATTAAAATAAATTAAAATAAATTAAAATAAATTAAAATAAATTAAAATAAATTAAAATAAATTAAAATAAATTAAAATAAATTAAAATAAATTAAAATAAATTAAAATAAATTAAAATAAATTAAAATAAATTAAAATAAATTAAAATAAATTAAAATAAATTAAAATAAATTAAAATAAATTAAAATAAATTTAAATTAAAATAAATTTAAATTAAAATAAATTTATATAAATTTAACGTGTTGAGTACGGTGTGGCATTTAACGGATGCCTCACTGCTTGTACTTTTTGAGACGGCGAGACATCAATATGGTGCCACACTTGCAACAGTCAGAAAATTAGCAAGGATGGCGTGGTTTTATAATACGTCTCACTATAATGCTACAAACATAAGAACTCACTTTTAGCCATCTATAGTATTTGAAAAGTTTCACTGGCCTTGAAAGTAAGAGACAAATTCTGTGGGGAGGCATCAATGTATATCCAGAAAAAAAATTAAATATTTGACAAATACTTAAAAAAAATAATTGAAATTTAAAATCAATTTAAATCAATTTAAATCAATTTAAATCAATTTAAATCAATGTAAATCAATTTAAAAAAAATTAAATTATAACATAGATTAAAATAAATAATTAGCACTTCTTACGGTTCGACCTAACATAAAAAATATGATGAGGTAACTTATAAAAACGACAAATTTAGATTTCCTGACACCTTAACAGCTTAGTCCTCCACTTGAACTCCAATTTCGACTGCAAACGATCGTCTTTCGTGCATCGTCGGTGCCTTGCTGTTTAGAGTTATAACCTTAATAGTATGTTCAAGTAGCGATAAATATTGATGTACGCGGATTTTATTTGTCTTTTTTTATTTTAGAGTGAATTAATCTACGAAGTTTTTTTTCACTCTTTTTTTTAATACTTAGTTTTTTATGCTACTGATATTATTCCAAATAACCTTACTTAATGATTCTTTCTTCATTTATAACCGAGATACAGGTAGTTTTATTAACTTTGCCAATTTATTTTTTGTTTCATAACTTACTAACCACCCTTACATGTTATTTGGCACATGTATTCTCTACAACTTACTATAATTTTCAAAAAAATTTAAAAATTTGTCTATGTTTATAAGAACACACTAGTCGTTAAATATGTATCCATATTTGGAAAAAGCACAAAAAAAATAATTATATGCTTTTAATTTTTACTAGATGATTTTATTACTAAAATTAACTGTTTTTATATTATTTTTAAACTAAGCATATTTTTAAAAGTTACACGTTATGCGTGTACACTACAATAAAATGTACTTACAAGTCCATATTTATGACCAAATATAATCATTACTTTTTAATTAATCACTGCATGCCGTACCAACATCATAATCGCTAGACTCTAGGCAAAATTGATTCAAAGCATTGCTTTTGGTAGGTACTGATAGGCACAGATATATAAAAGTACCAACATAATATATAGCTTTTAAAAATTCGGTTGGAATTAAATTATCCTCATTATAACGTATTGAAGTTACTTAAAACCCCCTTAAGTTTCATTTTTTATCTCGAAAATGCTCAAAAATAAAAATTTAAACGTTATATTTTAGCAGTAAAATCATTGTACAATAACATGACTAATTTTAGTTTTTTCTGGTCTCTTTAAATATGGAAACGAACTTAACTAATTCAGAAATGTACTTTTTTGTGTAACTCGAAAGTAATAATTTGAAGTTAAAAATGTTCACCGACCTAAAATTTGATCCATTCAAAATAATGATTTATATAAAAATGCTCTAACTTTCAAAGGCTTATTTATTTGAAGTTTTTAGCAACTTTTAGATAAAATACTGTAGTTTTAAGATTATTATTCGGACATCTAAAAGTAATTCAGAACTCGCCGGATATACAGGGGGGGGGGAAAGAAAACAATTTTTTCCTCTACTTTTGACACACCCTGTAGGTTAATTCTGCTAGTAGATCTGCATACAATTAACTTTATCAAGAAGACCGATTTGTTACCAACACTTTTTTTTTATTTACCCCGATATCTTAATTTTTTGTGAAATGTGACGGTTTAAAGAAAATGCTACATTTTAGAAACGGTCATAATTTAAATGACGGTACAGAATAAACTACAAAATAAGTAGAGTGCTGTGGCCAACTCACAATATGACAACTGTCAAATATTCGTTACTTGGCAATTGCAGTTTAATTATTATTCATTATCAGCATAATATCATGGTTTTAACGCTTACTGATGCAACATGAGCAGTTGCTCTGGTACAAGATGGTAGGACTCAGTATTATACTTCTAGAATATTGGGTTTTACAAGGTGTAGCGTCCAGAGAGTTGTACAAGGTTTTAATGATACTGGTAGTTTTTCGAGACGAAGAGAATCTGGCAGACGACGTTCTACAAATGTTCGAGATGATCGTTTTATGACATTAAATGTTTTGCGAGAAAGAAATACTACTGCTGTCATGGCTCGAAACCGTTTAGAAGAAGTACGTCAACTAGCTGTTAACGAAATAACGATTCGAAGGCGATTACGAGAACATGGATTACGCTCCAGAAGACCTGCAACTGGTCCAGAGTTACTTAGGAATCACAGAATTTGCCAGGGAGCATTAACATTGGAATATCGATGAATGGAGTAAGATTTTATTTTCTGACGAGTCAAGGTTTTGTTTACGTTCTCCTGATGGCCGTGAAAGAATATACCGAAGAAGAGGCGAAAGGTTTGACCAAGCAAATTTTTCCACAAGACTCAGTTATGAAGGAGGATCGGTAATGGTTTGGGGCGGCATAAGCATGGAAGCTCGTACTGATTTAGTCATTGTTGGCGGCGGAGCAATGACAGCTTACCGATATATTCGTGATGTGCTAGATCCATATGTAATTCCATTTGCCCCATTTATA